TGTTGTTAAAAAAAACACTCCATCAAAGATCCTAAAAACATGTCATGACGTAGGATATGGTGAAAAAACGGTACAGTAAGGTGTTTAATGAAGAAAAAAAAATCATCATGTAGTAACAGTGGGAAAAAAATAATGTCCTGAAAACATGTCATTTTGCAAACATTCTTTGGCACATTGTAAAACGTTTCACAGCTTTTTTTAGTGATCCACCACAACAGCTACCATTACTACTGGTCCATGACTGCAGGGCCTCTGCCAGGTAGTTCAAACATTACTCAATTACAGTTACATAAAGTTATGTACACAAGTAACAAGAACAAACAGTGGTGGAAGTGGAAATTAACAAGTTTAATAAACCCAGAAGAAATTATTTTGCCAGATATTGCTCAGAAAAAAACAAAATGACATAAAATGTGCAGCGTCTCCTAAGTAGAAAAGCAATAAGATGCTAAAACAAGTAAACTAAAATCAGACTAGAATAGAAATGTAAAAGGTAATGCTGGCGTTGATAATGAGGTAATATTACACATGAAATTGAAATATTGCACTTCAGAGTTCACAACTGAAACATTGCACATTGAGTGAAACCAAAATGTCTTCAGATAAGATCAAGTTTGTTGATCCCTGTCGGGGGAAATTCACGTTACAGCAGCTGAACACGAGTCAGGCAGAAAGAATGAAGTATAACAGGGCTAAAAAAAATAAAGATATGACAATAATAAAGGTCTCACATAGACAGACTACCAGGTGAGATGAATCTACATATACACAGGTATGTCATGGAGGATCATGGACCCACAGTTCTGTTAATGCAGTTAAAAAAAAACATTATTAGTTGAAATGACGAGTGTTTAACATGATGTTGTTACACATGAAGAGCTGCAAGACAACAGTAGAATCTAATGTAGAATTATGGTATTTGCCTCAACTGGTAAATATATAATGTAGATTTTTTTTTAAATACAATTTTTGCTCCTAAATCACATTTTTTGGGGGCTTTGTCTCGACTATTTTCCAACACCGCCTTAAACCAACTCTGGTAGAGCAAAGAAAATAACTCACACAGTTGTAGCAGCAGCAGAGAGGCTACAGACAAAACTCCAATAACAACACAGCAGAGCCTTCTGCCCGCCTTATTACCGCACACTGTTCTCACAAAAAAAAAAAAACATTTAACCCATGGTGTTGGTCAGTAAATTACACTTGAACTTCATTATTTTCATAGAGGACAAAAGCAAGATGATTCCAAGTTATGTTTCATTTGTATCCCAGTGAGTAAAGAACAAGTGTAGAAGCAGCTCCATCCCATCCAGTCTCGGTTCATAATTGATGCTAAAGCGTGCGTCCACATACAGTCCGATCTCTGTGTTTATGTCTCTTCCTTCAGCAGATGCCTATATGTACCACAGCTGCAGCTAACAAGTTTTAAAAATCCATTTTTTCCATCAATAATTTTGCTACCTGAATTTTGCAGCCCTTCCACATCATGTTGAGCCGAGCTGGTTTGTACCTGATGGGCGGATGAGACGGTCGAGGTGCTTTGAGGACGCTTCCACGCCTGATGTTTTTGTTGCGCTTTAAAACAAACCAGCGTGTTTGCACGTGTGGCTCAGTTCATTTGAGGGGATGTGAACTCTGGTACGAACGAAGAGAAATAAAATCAACAGACTGGCTGAGAGGGGGGCTGTGCTGCAGTGTGTTTGTGGAGTGAAAGCAAAACGTGGCTGCAGGAATCTGTAGTGGAAGATATCGATTGTAGCATGAATTCAGAATCTAAACTCGCAATAAATCCACCTGTAGATGAAGGGGCCCCGGCACAAGAAGCAATCTGGTTAAGCAATTTGCATTTTTCCTCAGAACAAACTTCTTTCATTTCCCCTGCTGTCTGGTTTTATTGCCTTAGCTGGACTTATAAAGTGAGCATCCATGTATTCATTTCAGCTTTCTTACGTTATCTTATCTCAGGTGGAGCTGGAGAGAGGGAAGATCCTCCACATCAAGGCCCTGGCGCTGGGCGACCTGAACAAGGCCGGACAGAGGGAAGTCTTCTTCGAGCTGAACGGGCAGCTGAGATCTGTGCTGGTTAAAGACACAGTCGCCATGAAGGTAAGCACACGGGAGTGATGTACAGTGGAGGTGGCTGATGGATTGTTGGGGAGAGTGAGAATCCTGATTAAAGGACAAAGGTCAGGAGATGGATAAATGATGCCTGACTGATGGATGGGACGGTCTGAGTGACGGATGGACGTCTGCAGGTAAACTACAGAGGGGGGACAGGGAAGGTTCTTGAAGAATGTTGGACGGTGGAAAAAGGCTTTTTGACAATGCATTACTGCTGATTTTTATTCATGGGAACAAATGGTTGTGGAGCGTAGATGGAGACTCAGCAGGGGGAAATGTTTCAATGGGCAGCTGAGTGACGACAAGGGTCGAGTGTTTCCTGGATGACTGGATAAATAGGCAGGGCTGGGTGACTGGCTGGACACATGGAGGCTTGAAGTCTGGGTTTTTTTGTCCCTTTACGCAGGAAATGAAGTTCCATCCCAAGGCTCAGAAGTCCATCAAGGGTCAGGTGGGAGCGCCGATGCCTGGAAAAGTCCTGGAAGTCAAAGTAGAGGTTGGATCCAAGGTCAGTTTATTGACAACCTGATAGTTCCTCGTTTAAGTTTTAACATTCAGAAGGTCTATATTCATTTAACTAAAGTAGCCACACAGAGGTTTATTAGTTTCATCACATCAGCTTTTTGGACAAGCAAACATTCAATCCTCTTTGAAACGGTGCCTACAGGTAAAGGACATGTACATGACCAACACAAGCACAGTGAACGTATTTAAGCATCTGTAGTAACTTCTGCAGCCTCAGAAGCTTGTACGGCTCCTTTGAGTAGAAATAATTTGCATAAATGTACATTGGTCTCTAAAATCAACTTGCTGAACTTCTTGACACAAAATTCCATCAGTTTCAAGAAGTGTGTGGATTTTACTGCATATATAAAAGTTTACATGCAGTTATTTAGACCACAAACATCCTGGCAGTCTTGAGTTTCCATTGACTCCTATAAACACAGAATTTTCTGATTGAATAATTGAAAATCTGTCATCATGCATTTTCTTTCTTTCATAGATTTGCTATAGGTCTTCTGGAAATATGACAAAATCTATCCAATTGGTCAAAAATATACATACAGCTCAAGGAATGATGAGTTTTGTTGCTGTAGAAGCACTATTGTTGTTTTGTGGCAGACTCATGATTCCATCACAGAGAATGAAGCCCTGTAGGTGTCACTGGAAACTCAAGCCTGCCAGGATATACGTGGTCTTTACAGCCAGCTTTGACCAGGCCGTTCCATCACCCTCCATTCCTTGTTGTGGTGCATTAATTACAGCTCCACCTTCTTGACGTGATGCTGAATTCAGTGTTGTGTTCTGCTGTTGGTGTCACATTTCACACAGCGTTCTCCTTTCACGATCTACGTGTCACAGTTTTTTAAATCCCCTTCACTACAGGAAACAACAACAGCCTCCGGGCAGCAGCCAGCTGGAAAATTTAAAGTTTGCCCAGCTATATAAGAATTATCCATTTTTATGACCCTCTCTGTGCAAATCCTCCACCAAAACAATTCCTCGTGTCACTGTTTTGCAGCATTCTTAACTCCGCTCAGAACAGTTGTGATTGATTTGAAGAAATACAAACCTCCAATAGCAGCTTTAGCATCGAGCGTCAGCGTTTCCCCAACCACAGGCCGTTCCTTCAAGAAAAGAAAAAAGCATTATATCAATTACAGTCGCACTAAAGTATGTCAGTCGTTGGCTGTCTGCTCCTGGATTTCAAACTGGACCAACATGGCGGCTTGTTTAGAACCTATTACAGCCACACAAGAAGTTTTTAGAAACAGAGTCCCTCAACTTGTTGCACTAAACGCCTCCCAACAAGTGTTCATCCATCTAAAACCACAAACAGAAAAACACAAACATCTACAAGTCAAGCCAAAATATCTGCATCTCTTTTTATAGCGTCCAACCAGAATGTACCAGAACCAGAGCACAGGCTGCTGCTGACTCCCAGTGTGTGATTGTTCAGTCCAATTGTTCTGTAATATTCTAATTAAAAAATAACTCTTTAATTCCAAAGGGAGAGGAGGAATATGACAGTTATTAATACCAAACGGTCCAATTTTCATTTGTATGAATAAAAAAACCCAAAGAGCAGCGAGAAGCACCATCATCATCATTTCTGTGTCATTTTTTGAGGCCATCAGCTTTAACTGTAGGCTCCCATTCAAAGAGGCTTATTGTCCAAATAAATAACAATATTAATCTGATTATACACTCAGTAGCAGCGTTTGGTGCTCTGTGTTATCGACATGCTTTGCACCGGGTCAGCTGGTACTTTGCTGTGTCAGTGCACACAAACAGACAACGTGGCTACTTTAGAGTAACTACAACCAACAACAGCCTAATCGTGTTTCCTAAAGTTTACCTAGAAAACATCCTTTCTGTTGCTAATCTTTGACTGCGGCTCTAGTTCACTGATCTGTAAATTTGACTCATGTTTTCGACACTGCGAACTGTCTTTCCAATCACGAAAGGTGGAGAAGGGTCAACCGCTGTGTGTCCTGTCGGCCATGAAGATGGAGACCGTGGTCAACTCCCCGATGGCCGGCACCATTAAGGCTGTACATGTCACGGCCGACTCTTCCCTGGAGGGAGATGACCTGATACTGGAAATCGAGGAGTAGGGCGAGCGAGTGAGCGGGCGGAGGGAAGGAAGGAGGGAGGGGGTGGAAGCAGTAGGCAGGAGATAGACAATCTGATTCTGGAGGAACGGAGGGGATTAACATAAAGAGGGGAAAACTGGAATCTTTTTGCTCTGTGATATCTGAGGCCCCCGGTTTGTACATATTTGCTTACGCTGTGGACACATAGTGGAGCTCTATGCATCGAGATCAGATGGTATGAATGTCCAAGATCATATATTAATCAGACGGGGATGAACTCCTCTGTTTAATTCTCCCAGAAAGACGGTAGTTGGAGACTAGAATAAAAAAAATGGTACCTTTACTAATGTCCTGTCAACTTGTGGAAGATAGCGTAGACACTTACATAGAACATTGTGATACATTCCACTGGTGAAAAGTCTTAAATGTGATGTACTGCAACGAGCTCGCCACGTGTGACGCTAGAACAGGGTCGGAAACATCTCCTCGCAGTTAAATGCCGCCATTTTCACGCAGTTGATGTTGCTTAATATATTCAAAGTGAGTAGATTAAACTTTTTATCCTCGACTACTACTAAATGTGTTCTTTGTAATTAGCAGGATTCAGATGAAGAGACCTGAGGATGTATTAATCAATAATTCCTGTTGTTGTTTTTCTTAAACGCTCACCTTCACAAGACATTATCAACCTTTGCCATTAGTCACAGTGCATTCTGGGAATGTGTAATCGCTGTTAGACACACTTTTTTTTCTCCAAGGTAAAAAAATAAAGATTATTTTTTAAAGGCAACCAATTACACAGGGTCTGAGGGAAATAAATCACAGCATTTTTTTTGCCCAATCTGTCTTACATGGGTGTCATGAAAATATTTTCACAGCAAGAGAAGCACAACAAAAGACTCGGCACCAGTTTTAGACACAGAAATACAAGCCAAAGTGAAAACATGTATCCTGTTACTGTATCAGTAATAGTAGAAGGTTTAGTTTTTTAAAAGATCAGCGCTCATGTGGTCTGATTCATGTCTGCCTTTATGATCCCCGAGCAGACGCGACCAGTACATCTGGGAAACATCCAAAGTAGCTTCATTATAGTTGGTGTAACTGCGGATTTAAAGGCAGCAGTAGCTCAGCTGTGTCATGTTAAGGTGACCAGTCAGAGCTTTAAAGGCGCTTTTGAGGCCTTTTTTTTTTTTTAGTGTCTCTGCTTCGGTGGGATGCTGAAAAAGGTTGTGAGAGGAGCAGTTGCACCCCTGTCTTTCCAGAAGCAGGCGGAGATTATGGTGAGCGGCCCTGTCTGCACGGGGATTTTTAATGCTAGGTGTAAATGGGATTACATGGGGCTGTAATGGAGGTATGTGGTGTTATTTTCTGAGGCTCTGCTGATTAATTTATGAATTAATTCTCTGTCAAATGATGTGAAATTAGCCGGACTAATAAGAGACTCTGGAGACTCCCAGTAGCAGTACCCGGCTTTATATTTCTAATGCGTGACTGTTTGCATAAATGAGTGGAAATGTGTGTGTGTGTGCACAAGCAAATTTCGAGACAAACTCAGCCAGTCCCCCCACAACGCACCTCCTGAGATGAAAACGCATTCTAAAAGGAATTAAATATTCATACTCACATATGCACCGGTGCAAAATATTCATGTTAGCCCTTGAGTGCTGCCTGGATTAAGAGAAAACAAAACCAAACACACTCTGCACAGCAGCGGCGTGACTCCACGGAAACATTCGAGAACAACGCAGCCATTAACCCACTCAGTTATCAGCTCCTGTAGTTAAATACTGAATTAAAGTCTCACAAGATGACCGTTAAACTCATCTTTTGCATCAGAATATTTAGCTTCAACAACAAGCAGAACATCAGTTACAGCTTGACAACAACAAAAAAAAAGTCACAATTCCCGTTTAACACAGTGAAGGCAGGAAGTGTTTGGGACAGTGAGCCAGAAAACAGACCACGACAGCTTACTTTCCCCCCCAAAACATCTGCTCCTTCAACAGAACGCATCGATTGGGACACGAAATTGAAGTATCAGTTTGTACTTGACTGGATTGTTTCCAGCGTTTTTGCTCCATTACCTCTGAGAATGAATACCCTTTTGAACTATGCATCAATACGGAGCGGAGATGCCGCAGTTAATTAGAACACTGATGTCTCGCCGCTCCCCGGGCCCGCTGCAATGCCTCACTGTATCTCCCGCTTTATCAATTTGTATTTGAATCTTTTGGCGAGAGACGGAGATGAAGTGGTGGGATTGTACGAATGAGTGTTTTTGACAAGCTGTTGCACAATAATGTAAAGTTCCCTCCTCCTCTCCTCGTCGGCTCTCCTCATTTATCTGCTCCCCCTGCCTCATCCATCTCGCCACCTTTTCATATTATTTCCCTCTCCATCCCCGGCGCCTCTGTCTCTTTCCTTCGGTGTACTTTTTTGCACATGTAAGATGATAGCATCGATTCGGGCAATAATGTGAACTGTATCGCTGTGTTTCTCACCGTCTTAGCCTGCAGCAATTCTAACCGCCATGCTTATGACAATGTACACCTGCTCAGTGTCTTGGGGGGGAGAAAAGGAATAAATTGCAGAAAAAGTACACGCAGCTGGAAAATGTTATTTGTCTGAGGAAGGCGGATATAGATTTGACCTATTCTTGAGCTCGTGCTATGTAAAGCTGAACTGTCACAGAGTATGAAAATAGGGCCTGTGACATTTCTGTTTTTCTCTTTGTGTGTTTTTATGAAACCAAACTGTTTATTTACTTCTTGGGTTCAGCCGCGATGGCTGCCTGCTGAGTCAGAATGTCTCGGCTGAATTTCTATCAAGTGTTCACAATTTGTCGTGGCTTCTTCCATTTTTCTTACTTTGGTTCACTTAAAGTAGTTTACGTTTACGTGTTGAGGTTCAAAGTGTGTCTAGGAGAGACTTAAGAGCTCAAAAGAAGGGAAACAAATAGTATGTAATAAAAGCGATACTTGTTCTATCTGTACTTACGAATAAAGTCTAACTAAACCTGCACTGTGTCGGTGTCTACTGCATATTCTGCACAGCGGGACTCCTGCCAAGGTTTGCATGAACAAAGATTGTGCTCATAAACTCGAATGACGCTGTTTATCAGGGTCTCACTGCACACCAGAACCATCAGCTCAACGCCGGCCACAGTCAAATATATATTTCATCTGAAAGCTCGCGTTTCATATCAAACTGTCAGACCGCAGCTCTTTCATACGAACCAGTAATTAGATTTCAACTATAAATGTTGAAGTGGAAAAAAAATAACTGTCACAAGCCAAAACGCTGCCGATCAATGCGAGTAATTTAGACTCCACAATTTTCTTTTCACTTTTATTACAATAATGTGACAGATATATGCCGGGATCGTGGGAGCCCGATTGTCTTTGGGTTATTTTACATAAGCGTTTTGTTTTCTCAGGCTGCTCATTGGGATTCAGTTCGTGTGCGCTTGTGTGAAGGGATTCTCTTTGCTTGGTGCTTCCCCCCCCAAACAAGTTAATTCCTACGTGGCTGGATGTGGATCTAATCTGACACGCCGCTGTCTCTAAACAGGTCCTATAGATCTGATTAAGTACTTATTAGCCGCGCTGAATCAATCAAGTTTGTCGTTCAACTGCCACTATTGAGCGGCCGTCAGCGACACTGCGTGCGATTGGTGGGCGGATTGATCACGCCGGCAGCCGGCGCCGGGTGACATTCTCAAACTCCTGTATGGATTTAGTGACGCCGAGCATCACTAATAATATTGCGCCGCTAAGCCAGGCACACTTGGCTCGTCACCACTCCGTAAACTGGGTTAACTGAGGGGCTCCGGAGAGAAAACGTTGCCATGGCGCCGGGATGAAAGAATGGCTTGACACTTAGTTGTAATCAGATTAAATCACAGGGGCAATTTTGGAACACGGTGGATGTTATGACCCACTTGTCAGCCGACTTGAGTGACAGCTTTGATTAATAACATAATCAAATTTGCATATATGAATAGAGAAGTGGAGGATAGCAGTCTGCGAGCTGTGACCTTGACTGATGTGCTGATATCACAAGGAACAAAATGTGACGGCTGCATCTACCACTAAATTTAAAACTTTATCAAAGCGGTGGGCGACAAAACTTTACACTGGTTCTTGTTCTGACGAATCAAATCCTTAAAGCACCTCGACAGTTTCATGAAAATCAATCCTTCTGCATGTTGCTGTGTTGTCCTTGTGGCCATTTTTACTGCGAATAAAAGCTGCTTTTATTTAAAAGTCAAATGAACTTGCAGCACGTCTATGAAAGGCTTCCAGCAGCTTCCACATGCTGCCACGCTGCGTGCCAGATGAAGACTATTGATGATTGGTGTGCATTAAACATTTAAACACATTTACAACTACAAAAGCGTCCTAAGTTCTCTCTTAATGAGGCCTCTGGTGGCGTCCTTGTGGTCAGAACAATAATTTGTGTTTAGCTGGATATTTATGCAGTGATGATCACATTAGGCCTGATCTACAACAACAGATTAGTCTGCTCCCCTGGCAGTGGGAATGCAGAGTAACTCGTGGTTTTGTGAACATTTCACGCCATCGTTGGGACACAACTTCAATTTGCTCTTACAAATAAGGCTAAAACAACTTAAAGCCGCGCTCCCTGTTAGGTCTCCTCTACGGGAACTGATAATTACCCATTTGTTGTGCGGGTGATTAGTAGATTCATGACAGCTCCAGCTCACCTCTGCAGCTTCCCTCGGCTTTACCAACTGTTTCAGGTGACCGGTTTATAAATGTACCATCACTCTCACAATGTAATTTAAAAAAAAAAAAAAAAAAACAGCAGACAAGATGAACAAACACAGCGGTTCACCGGGGCACGGTCGCCATGGCAACGTGATTCGACAATGTTGAAAGGATGTAAGCACTTACGGCAAGTTTTAAGTTAAGTGACCAAAGACTGGGTGGAGGAGATTTACAGTAAGAAGCGTCTAAACCGGCACATTACTTCTGATATTTAACGATGTTTACAGCCACTGAAAACCATCATATAATACAGCAGCCACATAAATGGTCAACGTGAGACAACGTCAGGTCCCATAATCACACCAGACTTCACAAACACTTTAACAAGGCCAACAGACAACATGGTATTCAGAATAAACACATTTGTGCTCATTGGAGTGCCCCCCAATGATCAAATGATAAAGCTTTTGGGGGTTTTGCTAATTCCAGACACCAAGTGACACATGACCTCTCCTCTTTGGCAGATTACGATTGGTTGTGACAAAGTAATGCTGTGAAAAATAAAAAATCCACATGACAGCTTTTGTGAGTCTGATTTGTGCCAATTTGATTAGAAAAAAAACTGTAATCTGTGATTTTTTTTTTCCAGCTTTATCAAACATTTTAATATGACTTGATCCAAGAAATCCAACAATACATTATTTCTAAAAACTAGGCAAATGGTTCCAACTTTCACCCATTGGTGGCGCTACAGTCCTGGAGGTACACACATGAAACTGGGTGAAAAGAATCATTAAAATGTCCCAAATCTCTGTGCCAATTTTCTACATTTTTACTTGACGATTGAATGAGCAGTGACACCATACCCTAAAGAATACCAGAAAAAAGACAATTCATCGTAAAGTCAAACACAGTATACCAAAAACACCAAGACATGAAACTACAGCCAAACGGATCCTGCAAGCCTGCACGCTTTTCCGGCCATTCTGACCCACAATCCTCTGCACAGCTACTACAAGACGTCTCACGAGAGTATCAACAAGCCAGGAGTCCACAGACAGATGACAGCTCATTTAGCGCTACAGACGCCGACAGTCAAGGTTTAAGGCAGCACATGATCCCAACTGGACTGTACCGCTTTGTAGGGCGGCTGGAGCACAAACTTCAACAGAGAAAGTGTGTGATTTAGAACACAGTCATCGACTACAATGGCAGAAGAAAATAAAAAGGTAGAACTACTGCGAGTACTGTTCAGTTTTCCTGCTTGGACCCTCAACTAACAGTTGAATATTCAGCAGGTAAAGAGCCACTAAATATCTGAATACTGGCCAGAAATATGACTCCCAATGAATGACAGCACTGTTTCCTTACGTTGTGGGTGTATAAATATGCAACTTTTTCAACCAGTTCGTCATATTTACTAAAAGTGTGATCACAGTTCATCTGCTGCCTGAGAACCCTCAGCAACCCTCATTATCATAAACAGTCTATTGTCAACATATCGGTTGCATTTTATTCACCAAAGGTTGTACAGATTTGACACAAACTGCTTTAACCAAGAAGCCAAAACCCAAATGGCTGTTTTAATATTTAATCAGAGATTATTTCCTCCATCAATCAAATATTCATCACTTATAAGTCCATAAAATGTTAGAAAACTGTGAAAAATGCCCCTGAAATGTACATATCAAGTTGAATTTATTTATTTCATTAAATAGCAAAGGGTCGTTCCAGCTCAAATATACAGGGTTCTTCTGCTCGACCATCTCTGATTTTCTGGGGGCGGAAAAAACTATTATAAACTATAGATATTTAAAATGGTATCTGTAAAATCTTGCATTGATTTAATCAAATACTTTCAGAGATTTTTTTATATTATTTAATTCCCAGCACACCTCCTTTTAGATTATTTTTTTGCACAGTGAAATTTGAGGCTGTTTGACTGACAATATCTCAGAAAATATTGAAGATTAAATTTTTGCTGTTATTTCTTGTGTTGTTTATTGAGAATCTATGATGCTGTAGTCTCTAAGTGTTAATCTGAAAATAAATAATGTAAAGTCCCAACTTTGAGCACACACTTAAAAAAAACAATGCTAATACATAAGTGAGATCTTTATCTGTAGTTAATGCTAAAAAAATTCTGGCAAATCCTTGTTGGTTGAGCAAACTGCTCTAAAAATGTCATGATTTCAGATGGAATGACCCTTAAATGATTGATAAATAAAACTGCTTTGTGTGTCAACTGGTTAAATGATTGTAACTGTAATTAAATTTAAATTAGTATACAGCAGAGAAGAGCTGGAAAATCTCACAGTGGAGACGAGGAGCAGACATCGTGTGTTAATCGAGTCAACATGAAGTTGCTGATGCTGCTGGTTTTGTCCTGAAACATCCACAAAGCCTTTCTCTTAAAGCCTGCGTTCTTTCTTCTCTACCTTCATACTAAACCTTGTCTTTAATTACCTTTCATGGCCACCTTCAAGCCACAAAACCGAAGACTTACTCAAGACTTCCTCTAAAACACACCCTGACTATGTGGACCTTATAAGCAACACGCTGACTCTGACCAAACAAGTAAGAATGAATGGTGTCACATCGCATCTGCTGCAGGAGGTTCAGGTTACTGAGAAGGAGTGAAAGTCACCATCGACTCAGCCTCTCACAGACGAGAACATCTGACTCCTCGGTGGCTTTTCCTTCAGCTGACACCGTGTCTGAAAATAGGTCAAAGACTCGCTCTGATGAGGTCTCAGCATCACAAGAGAAGCAAACGTTTTCATTTCGCTGGGTCTCCAGGTCACAGACTAAAATTCTCATTTGGATCCCAGACTTAAACTGTTTAATAACTCCTGCCTCTAATCTATAAATGAGTGCCAGGGTTCAAATCCCCTCTGTGGCTTTGCTTTTTGCTTATCCCTTTGTCCGCTTTGCTACTCTCCAAATGAACAGCAAACACACTCGGGGTAGAGCTCTAGAGTCTTGGCAACTCTGCGACACCTACTGAAGGAGCTCTGTGAAATCCTGGCAGAGGCGTGCGGCAGCAGCTGGCCGAAGAGCCAACTTTCTAACCCATGCATGAGTCTCTTACATGGGCCACGGGGGTCCGCTGCTCTGTTGAGGTGCAACTTTCCCCTCTAATCCCTTTGCTGCTGTTCGATAATCCCCTCACTGCTTGCTTTGCTGCTTTCTTTGCTGTAATCCTCCTGCTTGAATAAAGAGAGAATAGACAAGGAGGATGGGGTACACAGTGTCTCAGACAGACAGGAGGGACGGCGCCGTCACTCAG